TTTGGAGATCAATGTGTTCATTTTCACGCGAGGCGGCCTCGCCACGTGGCGACGCGAACATTCGGTGGGAAGTACTCTGCGGGTTCTCTGTAAAAGCTGGGCGCCTATCATCAGCATCGTCATGCTCACCACAATCCTGATCATGATCATCGACGGCGTCATCGTCATAATAAGCATCAGCATCGTTATCATCATCGGCAGCAGCAGCATCAACATCCGCATCAGCAGCAATATCATCATCATCAGCAGCATCATCAGCGTAGTCATCAGCCGCATCACCATCATCACCATATTCATCATCCATCTCATCATCATCATCATCAGCATCATCATCATCAGCATCATCATCGTCATCATCATCAACATCATCATCATCAACATCATCATCATCATCATCATCATCATCATCATCGTCATCGTCATTGACATCACCAACAACAACAGCACCATCATCAGCGTCAGCATTATCATCCTCATCGTCTTCGGCGTTATATCGTCATCTTCATCATCATCATCAACTGCATCCGCATCATCATCACCATCATCGTCGTCGTCGTCATCGTCATCATCAAAATCAGCATCAACGTCATTCCGAATGGCTCTCACAGATAATGCGTTCTTGGTTCCTGATTCTGGTTGTGCTCTTGTCCTATCCCCCTCCTCCTCCTCCCCCTTTCCCTCCTCCTCCTCCTCCTCCTCCTCCTCCTCCTCCTCCTCTCTCCTCCTCTCCATCCCTCCTACCTCCAGTGAGTGCGCGCCGAAGCGCACCCCAGAGGAACCGCCCCAACACCTCAATTCCATTATGCCCCGGCCTCCGGAGGCCCGAAGATACCCTTGAAAGGGCCCTGGGGCCTGGACGCACAACGTCAAAAAATAACATAGCTTCCTGCTTCAATGATACGAAAAAGTGTGTAAATCAATAGACGCTACGGCACGAGCCCCGAAGGGTTCAGCGCCGATGAAGCTAGGAGCACGAGCCCCGAAGGGTTCTGCGCTCGAAGCTTCCCTGGCACGAGCCCCGAAGGGTTCAGCGCCAGTGGCGAGAGCCCCGAAGGGTTCAGCGCCGATGAAGCTAGGAGCACGAGCCCCGAAGGGTTCTGCGCTCGAAGCTTCCCTGGCACGAGCCCCGAAGGGTTCAGCGCCGGTGGCGAGAGCCCCGAAGGGTTCAGCGCCGAGGAAGCTAGGAGCACGAGCCCCGAAGGGTTCTGCGCTCGAAGCTTCCCTGGCACGAGCCCCGAAGGGTTCAGCGCCAGTGGCGAGAGCCCCGAAGGGTTCAGCGCAAGGTTCCATTCTCTCCTCCTCCTCCTTCTCCTCCTACTCCTCCTGCTCCTGCTCCTGCTCCTGCTGCATGGTCTGGGAGTCCACGAAACCTGGCCAGGCGTTGGTTTTTCTGGTATTTCTGGTCTGGGAGCTCACGAACCTGGCCAGGCGTTGGTTGTTCGTTTTTTTCTGGTCTGGGGCCCCGCCAAACCCGGCCAGGCGGTGGTTTCTCTGGTTTTTCTGATCTGGGAGCCCACAAAACCTGGTCAGGCGTTGGTTTCTCTGGTTTTTCCCGTCTGGGGGCTCACAAAACCTGGCCAGGCGTTGGTTTTTTTCCGGTCTAAGTTTCGTGGGCTCCCAGACCAGAAAAGCTAGAAAAACCAACGCCTGGCCAGGTTTTCTGAGCTCCCAGACGAGGAAAACCAGAAACACCAACGCTTGGCCAGATTGTCTGAGCTCCCAGACCAGAAAAACCAGAAAAACCAACGCCTGGCCAGGTTTTCTAAGCTCCCAGACAAGAAAAAAACAGAAACCAACGCCTGGTCAGGTTTTCTGAGCTCCCAGACACGAAAAACAGTAACCAACAACGCCTGGCCAGGTTCTGCGGAAGCGGATTCTGATTGAAGGAAGAAAGAGAAGGAGGAGGAGGAAGACGGAGCAGGAGGGAGGATGAGAGGAGGATGAAATATAAGGAAGAAGAGTGGAAAAGAGGAGTGCAGCAACAAGAACGGTTCCTTTTTCAAACCCTTTGAAGGCCAAACCGCCAGGCTCATCCAGTCTTGAGCTCTGCCCTCCCCCTCCCCTTTCCTCTTCCCTGTCCTTCCTGTCCTCGACCTTGTCTTTGTCCTCTTCCTCCTCCTCCTCCACCTCCTCCTCCCCCTCCTCTTCCTCCTCCTCCTCTTCCTTCTCCTCCTCCTCCTCCTGCCCCCTTGTGTCCTCCACTTCGGCCCGCTTGGCTCAAGCAGCTCTGGCTTGAGGTCACACGGCCCCCAGGGGGCCAGGGTAGTCTTGGGGTTCCGACTAGTGTACCTCACATCCAGAGCCCGCGGGCGTCCCCGACGCGCTTGAGGAACACTGCTCTTTCTCGGTGCCAGGCCCGAAAGGTCACTGACTACCACGTGGGATGACAAAGTTGTGGACCAGATGTTCTGTGTGCCAGCGCTGTGAGTTGAATGAACAGCTGCTTTCGGGAGGCTCCTTGTGCCCGAACTACCGCGCAAAGGTGACGCTGTACGCACCTGGTCGCGAAGTTCGATTCAGTCGTGATCACGGGGAGGGGCTTCATGATGCAAATCGTGCAGACGATGACCTGCCCCAACCGTGTGCCCCAGGAATTTTCCGTGGAGGTGGCGGCCGAAGCGCCGCCCCAGCTGGGCGCGGCAGCAACGGCGGCTGCAAGGGCAGGCCGAGCGGGGGTGGCGCACAGGCCAAGAAGCTGCTGCATCAGGCGGCGGCGCTGGCGAACGACCCCGCCTTGAAGCGCATGCTCAGAACCGCTGCCACCTCGGCAGGACAGCTGGTGCCCGTCGCCCCCTCGCCCGTGAACGTCTCGCCCGTCGACGCGCTCGAGAAGGCGGAGGGGGCGGCTGAGCATGCGGAGCGACTGCGCGATCAAGCAGTGGCGAATGTGGTCAGACTCCGCGGCAACCTGGCGGCCGTGGAGGAGAAGGAACGCAAGCTGGCCACCGAGTTAGCAGAGGCGCTGAGGGCCAAGAGGGCGGCGGCGGCAGCATTTGCCAAGGCCGAGGGCATCGAGCCCACAGGCGCGGGCGACGCCGCCGCCGGGCCCGCGGGAGTCGCCATCGAGCGGGGCGAGAAGTTTCCCCGGGAGGTGGGCGCCCTGGAATGCGAGCCCGCCGAGAAGGAGGCTCTCACCAAGCTCCAGGCGCAGCTGGAGGAGGCGCGCTCAACCTTCCAGGGGCGCGAGGAGGAGATCAACCGTTGGCGCGAGCAGGCCCGCGACTACAGGCGTAGCATCACGAAGCGCATGGCCAAGAAGCGGCGGGCCAATGGCGCGAGTGCCCAGCCGCCCGCGGCGACGTCCCAGCGGGGGGGGGGCGCCAAGATGGCAACCGAGGCCCAGGGCGCTGCGCAGCAGCCTGCTGCCGCGGCGCCCGCTGAGCCCACCGCGGCCGAGAAGGAGCTGAAGGAGACTGCCGTCGCGCGGGGGGCAGAGCAGCTCTCGGGGGCGTAGTTCAAGGCGAAGAGGAGGGCCGCGAAGGCTCGGGGCAAGGGCGCGGGCGCAGGAGCGGCCGCTGCCAGTCCTACGGCTTCACGGTCGAGCACGGGGCCCCCCGGGACCGCAATGCTGGGGGGGGGTGGGGCCGGGCTGGTGACGGGGAATGCGCGTCGTTATTCTGCGCCAGCGTCGCCAGCCTGACTGACTGACAAGGCGCGGAAGTATGCGACGCAGCGCGCGCGCCGCCGCGGCCGCTGGGCCGCGGTAGAGACTCGCGTCCTCAAGGAATCCGAGATCGTGGCGCGGGGCATGGCGGCGCATGCACTTAGCCTTCGCGCGATTTCGAATTCGGCTCGCCTCTCCGCAAAGACCGCGTCCGACGAGAAAGAGGCCAGGCCCGACGAGGGTGGCGATATGTTTTTCCTCCAGGAAGCACTTCCAGATTCGACAATTACCTGGGGCGCGGGCTGCAGCTAGACTCCTTCGGGCCGCTGGCCATTCGGCGCGCGGCTGCTTCTGCCCGATGGTCTTGCAGCAGCGCGGCTACGCCGTAGTCCCGGTGGCCCTGTGCGCTCGCCCCTCCATCGAGATGACTGGCAAGAGCCGGATCGTTTCTCAAGACTGGACGGCCTACAGCGCGCCCTGCGCTCCCCGTGGCCGGTCGTGGGCGACTTCGACATGGCGCAGGTGCAGCGGCGCCGCGCGCCCTTCTACAAGGAGACAGGCTGGGCCCTCCGCCGGCGGCCGCCTGGGGTCGAGGGCACTCGTGCACAGAAAAACGGCCATGACACAATGATCGATATTCTTATATCAGAGTGAGGGGGCCGAACGGTCATTCACTGTCCCTGGGTGCGTGGCTGAAGTGGGATTTCGCGGTGCGGATTCTCGTTGTTGTTGTTTGTTGTTGTTTGTTGTTTGTTGTTGTTTGTTGTTGTTTGTTGCTGTTTGTTGTCGTCGTCCCACCCGCAACCCGCCCCGCGACCCACCCGCGACCCACCCCGCGACCCACCCCGCGACCCACCCGCGACCCACCCGCGACCCACCCGCGATCCACCCCGCGACCCACCCGCGACCCACCCCGCGACCCTCCCTCCTCTTCCTCCTCTTCCCTCCCTGACCTCCTCGCAGGGCTAGGGACGGTGAGGCGACCACGAGAGCCACTTTCCCCAGGGTGGCCGATCCGTGCTCGCAGCGCTAACCAGGAGCAGGTTCCTCGGGGCGTTGCCCAGACATCCGACGATGCGTTTTCCACCGCGCGGCCCCAGAGGTCCCGTCCCTTGTCCCAGGTGCCGTTCTTCGTCCCCCAGCAACGGGCCCCCTGGTGCCGAGGTCGAGGATAGGTGCCCGGACTGAATACAACACCAGGTCGTCGAAATCTGGGGACCGCAGCTTCACGTTGCCCCCCTGCCCCCCCCCCCTGCTTGGCACGACGGCGGCGACGGGCAGCGGTTGCGGCGACGACGGGCTTGGCTCGCGGCGGCGGGGTCGAGGCGGCCGCTCGTTGTGGCGATGTGGTCCGCGGATATTGACGGCAACACCGTGGCGCGGCAGGAAGAGCCCGACCAGGCGCCACCTGAGCCGGGGGGGGGGAGTGGGAGGAGGAGGAGGTGGACGGAAGAGGCGAGAAGAGCTGGGAGGAGGATGAGGAGGAGGAGGAGGACGAGGAGGAGGAGGAGGAGGAGGAGGAGGGAGGAGGAGGATAGGAGGAAGAGGAGGAGCAGGAGGAGGAGGAGCAGGAGGAGGAGGAGGAGAAGGAGGAGGAGGAGGAGGAGAAGGAGGAGGAGGGAAGAGGAGGGAGGAGGAGGAGGAGGAGGAAGAGAATGAGGAGGAGGACGACGAGGAATGGACGACGTCGGAGGAGGATGACGATTAGGATGAGGAGCAGGCGGAGGAGGAGGAGGATGAGGAGGGATGAGGAGGAGGAGGAGGAAGAAGAGGAGGAGGACGAGGACGAGGAGGAGGAGGAGGAGGAGGAGGTCTGCCATAACACAGCCTGTACCATCAGGCTACTTTTGCAGAGCGACTCTACGCCAACTCACCTTTGGCTTCGAGAAGCCACATTTTTTCCCCAGAGCATGGGTACCTTCCCGAGCCCGACACAGGCGGCACAGTCTTTTCATAAGGCTGCGACTACATCTTCTGAAGAGGACAGCCGACTACATCAGGGCAGCCCCAACCCTTTGGATCCCGAACGCCACGTTTTCGTACGCACCAGTGCTTAGACTGCCCCGAAAGAAGCGGCACCATTCCTTTTTACATGGCTAAGGCTACACCCATAGCCAGCCAACAGCCGTCTCGCCATGCTACTCTTGCTTACCGAAGGCATTTATTGTTATGGGGCGGTACTTGGGTGTGGGGTGCCGCCCTCCATCTGTGAAGCTGTTGTTAAGTTTAAGCTTCAGGGTCATACATGGTGAAGAAGTCTCAGGCGAAACGCCCGGACCGCCCTCAAAACTGGGCAGCGGCAGGAGCAGGAGCAGGAGCAGGAGCAGGAGCAGGAGCAGGAGCAGGAGCAGGAGCAGGAGCAGGAGAATGACGAGGAGGAGAAGCAGGAGGAGGAGGAGGAGGAGGCCCTCCTTCCCTCCCTCTTTCCCTCCCCCCCACGCCGTGCGATCGATATTACTGTCTCTGTCACAACGCACGACAGGACAGAGAAGAGAAGTCCATCTGGCAGACCCGATTCGGGTCTCACTTCCCCTGAACACTTCTTCCTTTTGGTTCCTCTATCCGCTGTAAACCTCCGCCTGAATCGCAATATAAGGTGGTTGAGACAGGCGTCCCCATGGCCCCAGGGATGTATTTGGGGCATGTGCACAAAGCCGTGGGAGGGGGATGGAGGGAGGGAGGGAGGGAGGGAGGGAGAGGGAGGGAGGGAGGGAGGGAGGGAGGAAAACGGAGGGGGGGGGAGGGAGGGAGGACGAGGGAAGGAGCGAGGGATGGAGGGAGGGAAGGGTGGGGGGAAGGGGGCGGGAGGGGAAGGGGGGTGGGAGGGGCGGCGAGAGGGAGGGAGGGGGCGGGAGGGAGGGATGGAGGGAGGGAGGGAGGGGGGGGAGGGAGCAAGGGAGAGAGGGAGGGAAGCGGGGGATGGGGGGAAGGGGTGAGGGATGGAGGGAGGGAGGGAGGGATGACTGGGGGGAGGGAGGGAGGGAGGGAGGGATGGGGGAGAGAGGGAAGGGGGGGGGGAGGGGAGGGAGAGGGGGGGGGGGGGGAGGAGGGGGAGGGAGGCAGGGAGGGGGGGGGAGGGAGGGAGGGGGGGAGGGAGGGAGGGAGGAGGGAGGAAGGGGGGGGGAGGCGGGGATGGAGGGAGAGAAATGGGGTGGAGGGGAGAGAGGGAGGGGGGGAGGGAGGGGGGAGGGAAGGGGGAGGGAGGAGGGAGGGAGGGGACGGTTGCGTGGGAGGGAGGGAGGAGGGGGGGAGGGGGTGTGGGTGGGAAGGAGGGGGGAGGGAGGGAGGGAAGAGGGAGGGACGGGAGGGAGGGATGGGGGGTAAGGAGTGAGGGGGGGGGGAGGGGGGGGGCGTGACGGGCGGCGGGAGGGAGGGAGGGGGGAGGGCGGAGGGGGGGAGAGGGAGGGAGGGAGGGAGGGGGGGGAGGGGGGAGGGAGAGCGGTTAGGGAGGGAGGTAGGGAGGGAGGGGGGCGGGAGGGAGGAAGAGGGAGGAGCGAGGAGCGAGTAGGGAGGAGGTAGGAGGGTGGAGGGGGACGGAGGAGGGAGGGAGGGAGGGAGGGAGGGAACAGGGAGGAGGGAGGATGGAGGGGGGATGGGGGGAGGGGCGATCTCTGTGCGCTCGCGTCCTATCTGACGTCCTACCTTGCCCTCCTATCCCGTATCATTGCGTAGATCTCCCCTCTTTCCGCACAGTCGGATGTTGAGCAGGGCGATGGTCGCGAAAGAGTGCGCGATGCATCGAAGAGCGCGGCAGGGCGTGGCGTAGAAGAGCACGGTTGAACGCATAATGTCATTGCATGGCGTGGCATTGCGCAGTGAAGGATTGCATCACAAAGCGTTGCAGCGCAGATCATGGCATCGCCCAGCGGCGCAGAACACGACACCGCGCAAGCATTCCTGGAAGGGCACCGGGTTCCTTGGAGGGTAAGTGGATGGTCTGCGAAGGGCCGGGGCCAGTCTGGAGTCTCGGCTCCATGTTTCGACTCGACGTAAGAGTGACCTTTCGCCAGAGTGACCTTTGGTGCGGGCACAGATGGGCCCTCAGATGGCTGCAAACGAAGCGGTAGCAGCGACTTGCGCGCCCCAGGTTTGGTCTCCCCGCGGCCCCCAAAAAGCCGCGCACCAAAGGTCACTCTCACCCAAGGCCACTATTGCGTGTAGCCGAATGTTTGGCTCCCTGGGCTCCGCGACAAGCTCTCCGCAAGGCGGGGCCGATGGAGAGCACCCGCTGGCTCTGCTTGCAACATCGCCTTCTGACAGCAGAGACGGGGCTCCCTCTTGATACTTCTTCCAAACGCCGCCGCCCCGAAGTGGGGGGCCTTCTGCGGCCGAAAAACTTGACGAACCGACACCGAATGTGGAATCACTTGTGATGTTTTATGAGGGTGTTTTTCTCGATTTGGGGCCTATTTGGACGGACCGAAAACGCCCGCGCTACAGCGGGAGCTCGTTTTGGAACAACAAGAGGAGCAGAAACGGGGTCAGCGCTGCAGCGGGAGCAACATTTTGAAGGACCAACCGGATTGCCAAACACACGCATGAAACTCAGTAAATGAGTCCAGCGCTGCAGCGGGAGCGCGATTCGAAACGAGCGGAAGCGCGGAAACGAGGTCAATGCTGCAGCGGGAGCACGATTCGGAACGAGCTGAAGGCCGAACACGAGGCCAGCGCTTCAGCGGAAACAACATTGTGAAACAAAAACATATCGAACATCCAGTTCCCGGGAATCCTGTGTGTAACAAGCAGCACGCGGAGGGGGAGGGGCGAACATTTTCTAGACGCCATCAGGGGGGAGAGGAACGTAGTACTCATATTGTGTAATTTTGGAGGGTGGACGGGGGAGGGGGGAGAGAGGAAGAGGAGGGGAAGGAGGAGGGGAGGAGGGGGAGGAGGGAGGGAGGAAGAGGGAGGAGGGGGGAGGAATGAGGGATAAGGAGGGTTGGAGGGGAGGAGGGAGGAGGGAGGGAGGAGGAGGGGGGACGGAGGAAGGAGGAGGGAGGAGGAGGAGGGGGAGGACGGACGGGGGAGAGGAGGAGGGAGGAGGGACGATGTAGGAGGGAGGGGGAGGAGGGAGGAGGGGAGGCAGGAGGCAGGAGGGAGGAGGCAGGAGGCAGGAGGAGGAGGGAGGAGGGAGGAGGAGGAGGGGGAGGGATGAGAGAGGATGGAGGAGGGAGGAGAGAGGACGGATGAGGGAGGCGGGAGGGGGGAGGGGGGGGAGGGGTGAGGAGGGAGGAGGGAGGAGGGCGGGGGTGCTGGGGGGGAGGGGGGGCGGGAAGGGGGAGGGGGGGGGGACGGGAGGGCGGGAGGGGGGGGGCGGCGTGAGGGCAGGATGGCTGGGGGGCGGAGGGCGGGAGGGGGGGAGGGCGCGTGGGCGCCTGGGCGCTGGGCGGGGGGGCAGGGGGGCGGGATGGCGGGAGAGGGCAGGAGAGAGGGGAGGGGAGGGGAGGGAGGGGAGGGGAGGGGAGGGGAGGGGCGGGAGGGGGGGGCGGGGCGGGGCGGGGCGGGGCGGGGCGGGGCGGGGCGGGGCGGAGAGAGGCGGGGGAGGAGGGTGAGAATGAGGAGGAGGAACACGAAAGCGACGATGACGACTGCGACGGAGGGTGAACCGAAAGGCCTCTCGGAGGCCTGATCGGGTGCTTTTTGAACGCCCTTTGGAGTCATATTTGGGCCCTGCTAGGGCCTTCCTGTTATTCATGTTCGCACCCACCGGGGCAATCTTGGGAGCCATGAGGGACTCTTGGGGCCACCGTGGAGGACGTCGATCAACCACCTTGCCCCTCTTGGGCCCGAACGCTCGCCTCTCGGGGCTCTCCTGGCGCGCTCTTGGGGCGCTTTTGGGCGCTCTTCTGGCCATCTGGGGGCCCTTTCTGGGTCTCTCTTGGGGGCGAGGTGTGAAGAGCCCATCGGAGGCCAGAGGGCGAGAAGGCAAGCCACCACGAGTTGTCGCAAGGGTTTTGACGGATTCTGGTCTCTCGGGGGTATTCTTGGGAGGTTCTGTGGCCACTCGAATCCGTCTTGAGGCGGCCTTGGGGAATATTGGAGGCGTGTTGGATGCTGCCTTGAGCCATCTTGGGCTGTCTTGAGTCATCTTTGAGGCCATCTTGGGCTATCTAGAGCCATCTTGGATCCATCTTGGGTCATCTTGGACACTCTGGCGTCTCCCCGCCGCCCCCGTCCGGACCCAGGGGCAGGGGCAGTGGGATGTGTAACCCCTCCCTGGAGGGGAAGAGCCTTTGATCCTCAATTCTCGATTTTCGGTCCTCGATGACCGAGGCTCGATCCTCGATCCTCGATCCTCGATCCTCCATCCCCGAGGCTCGATCCCCGATCGATCCTCGCTCCCTTCGCCTCCGCTCGCCGCGCAGGCGCCCTCCATGGCCCGGCACGTGGAGAGCACCCGCCCCGCTGCAGACGGGGGGACAGGGCTTTCCGTGGCAGGGGCCTGCGCCGGGGGGGAGAGGGCGGGGCCGCCATTTCCGATGAGGAAGAGGTGCCGATGCTGCTGCGGTGGGGGCCCATGCCAAGAAGCACCCTGTTTGCCTCCAGGGTACCCTGGGTTTCTCGGGTTTCGATGGTTTTGCTATGGACAGCGTAACGTTGCCACGCGGAAAATCAAGGGATGCCCTGGGGTCTCAGGGGTGGATTTTTTAGTGGAAGGTTTCTGGTGGTCGGGCTTTCACTGTACCGCCCTCGGGGCCTCCAGAGGCCTCCAAGAGGCATCCCCAAAAAGTCCAAATAGGCAAACATCACTGATGTTCCATTGTTTCTTGAACATTTTTTCGCATTTTCGCATTTTCAGCTTCCCGACGCTCCAACGCGGCCCAAAAGGCCTCCAAGACCGCTCCAAGACGGCCCAAGGATCTCCAAGAGGGTCCCCAAACCAGCCCCAAACCAGCCCAAGAGAGCACCAACACTGCCCACGAGGCTGCCCGTTTTCTCTGTTTGCTGTTCCTGGGAGGTCCTCGTCGACACCGCTGGGCTCGCTTCGAAATGCTGGTCAGAACGCACCCCTGGGAGAGGCCCGGGGAGTAGCGGTATCGGTACCTTTTGGTATCCCCAGTCGCCGCTTTGGGGGCTGCGCTGACCTGGGTCGGAACTACAGTCAGGACGCTGAAGGAAGGATAGTTTCATCGTTTCGCTCATTCCGCTGGCCCATCTTGTTTGACGGCTTTCGGTGCCACGTGTGTTCGTTGTCAAAGTGGTGCTGTTGAGCGGCGTTTTTTTTCTGGCGCGGTGCGTGAGGAGCGTTTGAGCTGAAGCAGTTGCTGTTGAGCTGCCCCTCGGGGGTTAGTTGCGGGTGCATGAGGCATGTATGTGTTTAGATTAGGCCGGTGTGGAGAAAGCTCTCTGTGAATGTTCGGTCTGAGGGCAGTCAGAAGATTGGAGTCTTTCGGTGCAAGCTGTGTATCCTGCTTTCGGGTGGGAGGCCTCTCGGGGGCCTCTTGGCGGTATGTTTGAAACCTCCTGGGGCCTCACGGGGCCTCACGGAGGCCTCTTGGGGCCTCTTAGGGGCCTCTTGGGGGCCTCTTGGGACCTCCTGTAGGCCTCGTCGGGCAAATAACTCGAAATGGCCGCTCGGGTCCCCCGTCTGGGCCCTCTCTTTGAGCCGTCTTGGGGGCCTCTTGGGCCGTGCTCGAGGCCTCGTGGGCAGTGTTGGTGCTCTCTTGGGCTGGTTTGGGGCTGGTTTGGGGACCCTCTTGGAGATCCTTGGGCCGTCTTGGAGCGGTCTTTGGGGCCTTTTGGGCCGCGTTGGAGCGTCGGGAAGCTGAAAAATGCGAACACACGACAATTCTTCAAGCAACAATGGACCATCAGTGATGCTTGCCTCTTGGGACTCGTTGGGGATGCCTCTTGGAGGCCTCCTGGGGCGTCTTTGGAGGCCTCGTGGGCCGTCCAGCGGCTATTTTGGGCGTCTGGGAGCGATCCTGTGGCGTCTCGGGGCCCTCTTGGACCACCCGGATGGCCTCCTGCGGGTCTCCTGGCTCTTCCTGGGCCTCCTCGGGAGGGCTCCGAGGGCGGCGCCCGGGAGCAAACCCTTCTCTGGCGGGACCTGGCCGGGGACTTGTCGCCCGGGGACCCCAGGGACCGCCCCGCGCGCGCGAACTACAGATCTATCTATCTATCTATCTATCTATCTATCTATCTATCTATCTATCTATCTATCTATCTATCTACCTACCTACCTATCTATCTATCTATTTATCCATCTATATATCTATCCATCTATCTATCTATCTATCTATCTATCTATCTATCTATATCTATCTATCTATCTATCTATCTATATATCTATCTATCTATCTATCTATCTATCTATCTATCTATCTATCTCTATCTATATATCTATCTATATATCTATCTATCTATCTATCTATCTATCTATATATCTATCTATCTATCTATCTATCTATCTATCTATATATCTATCTATCTATCTATCTATATATCTATCTATCTATCTATCGATCTATCTATCTATCTATCTATATATATCTATCTATCTATCTATCTATCTATCTATCTATCTATCTATCTATCTATCTATCTATCTATCTATCTATCTATCTATCTATTCATATATGTACAATATTTTACCAGCTCGCTTCGCTTCGCCTTTAAAATCTGGGTCGCATGGCGCCTGGAAAGCTCGCTGCGACCAACTGTGGGGCTTGTTTGGCCTGCTATGTGTCGTGGGCCTCATGGGGGCTCGTGGGGCTCGCGGGGCTTGAAGGGTCATAGTGGTTGCTCGGTAGCCGCGGCTCACGGACGTCATGGGGCTTATGGAGCGTGAGCTCGTGGGGCCCGTAGGGCTCGTAGGGCTCATGGGGCTCACAGGGCCCATGAGGTCGGAGGGCTCGCGATCGACTCGTGGGGCGTGGGTGGGGCGCAAGCGTTCGTGGGCACACAGGGCTCACGATGCGCGTAGTTTGTGTGGTTCAGAGGGGTCATGGGGCTCACTGGTTTCGCCATGCGCGTGGGGCCTACGGGGTTCCAGGGGTCAATGGGCTTGTGGGACTCGTTGGGTTGGTTGGGGAATAGGGGTCGGACGCCTAAGGGGCGTGTAGGGGTCATGGGCTACTGGGGCGCATGGGGAGCGTAGGGCTCGTAGGGCTCGTGACCTCGTGGGGCTCTTCGGCCTCGTGGGGCTCGCGCGGTTCGCGCGGCCTTTGAGCTCGGATGACTCGTCGGGCTCGCAGCGCTCACCGGGATGATGGGTTTGTAGGGCGCCCAGGGCTCGTGGGCTCTCTGGGCTCGTAGGCTCGTAGGGCTCGTAGGGCTCGTGGGGCTTGTACGCTCGTAGGGCTTGTGGGGCTCGTAGGGCTCGCAGGGCCCGTAGGCCCGTAGGGCTCGTGAGTTCGTGGGCCTGTAGAGCTCGTAGAGCCCGTAGGTCCGTAGGGCTCGTAGGGCCCGTAGGCCCGTAAGGCTCGTCGGCTTGTAGGCTTGTAGGGCTCGTGAGTTCGTATGCCCGTGAGGCTCGTAGGGCTCGTATGCTCGCAGGGCTCGTGGGGCTTGTGGGCCCGTGGGTCTCGTGGGGCTGACTGGGTTCGTGGGGCTTGTAGGTGTTCGGGTTCTCAGGGCTGAGAGGGCTCATGGTTGGTAGGGGCTGTAGGGGTAATTGGGGTCGTAGGGCTCGTAGGGCGTACAGGGCAATGGAGGGCTCATGGAGCTCGGAGGGGATATAGGGCACCGCGGGGCTCGTAGATCTCATAGGGCGGATGGGGGTCGCAGGGGCATGAGCTGCCACAGGGGTCGTAGGGCTCATGAGGTCGACAGGGCTCATATGGCTGGTAGGGGTCATAGGGTAATTGAGGTCGTAGGGCTGGTAGGGTTCACGAGGCTTGTAGGCATTAGGGCTCGCAGGACTCATAGGGCTCGCAGAACACATAGGGCACTGCAGGCCTCGTAGGGCTCGTAGGGAAAAGAGAGGTCGCAGGGGTCCCTGGGGTCATAGGGATGTTGGGGCTCATATGGGGTCTTGAGTGTCATGGGGCTCGTAGGGCTCATAAGGCTGAAGGGGTTGATGGGCCTGGAGGTCTCATGGGGGACGACATCGGCGGCGACGAAGACGACGACGGCGACAATGAAGACGAGGACGAGGGGCCGTAGAGCTCATTGAGCTCATATGGCTCTTGGGGCTTATATGGCTCATAGAGTCTTCAAGCTGGAAGGGCTCTGAGGGGGCAGAGGGCAGGAGCCTATGTACGGGGCAGCGTGCGATCGGAGAAAGTGTCGGCTCCTGGACCGAAGCCAAAACATCGGCGACGTAGATGTCCCCCTGGGTGGCGGCGTTGGAAGAAAAAATCATGCGGAGCATGGTAGCGGAAAGCAATGAATATGGCATGTCGGGGCTTTCGTGGGGCTCCTTATGGGGCTCTTTTGGGCTGTCTGGCGGCTCTCCGGGGTTGTCCCGAGGTCCCCCGGGGTGGCGGCGTTGGAGACAGAAACAGTGCGGAGCATGTTAGCGGAACTCAAATAATATGGCATGTCGGGGCCTTCGTGGGGCTCCTTTTGGGACTCTGTTGGGCTGTCTGGCGGCTCTCCGGAATTGTCCCGGGATCCTCTTGGGCCGTCCTGGGGGGATTCGGCCATTTTGGGACATTTTTGGGCGCCTCTTGGGGCCTTCTTGGGGCTCTCTTGGACGCCTTTTGGGGCTTTTGGGGCTGTCTTGGAGCTCTCTTGGGCCGTCTTGGAGCCCTTTTGGGCTGTCTTGGGGTCCTCTTGGGGGTATCTTGGGTCGTCCTGGGGCGATCTTGGGGGCCTCTTGGGCCGTCTTGGACGCAGTGAAGGCCACAGAAGCGAATATGGTAAAATTGTAAGTTTCCCGAAGGGAACGGGACGATTTTTGCGTTGTGGGGGTCTCCTTGGGGGCCTCTTGGGGCGTTTTGGGAGCGTCTTAGGCCGTCTTGAAGCCAACCTGAAATCTTTTTGAGCGCTCATGGGCCGTTCTGGAGCGGTCGTGGGCCGTCCTCGGGCTTTGCGGGACCGTCCGGGGATAGCCGGGAGAGGCTCCCGAAACCGAAATTCGATTTTCACGTCGGTGGGAGCGCCCAGGGCCGAATTTATGTAAGGGGGGGGGGTCAGGGGGGGGGTTTTCCTCCATAAGAATATTCGAAGAGGAATATTATCATACGCACCTCTCCGAGGGAGTAGAGCTCAGAGGCGATGAATGCATACGCGCCGCGTTGTTCGCGATTTTTCTGGCCGTTTCGCTTTGGACATTCTCGACATTCTGAAAGTCGGTGGCACCCCTCACACAGATCGTGACGTCAGGGTCCAACAACACATGGGAATTTCAACAGTTTAACATAAAACCTACAAAACACATTGTAAGTTCAATGATTTTGACCCCTATTCTAAGAGAATGGGACATCCTCCCCAAATCGAGCCCCGACGTACCTTCTGGTACCCCAGACCCCGCCTCGGAGCCTCCTGGGGGCCTCCTGGAACCTCCTGGGGCCTCCTGGGGCTTTCTGTACCTTCTGGTACCCCAGGCCCCGCCTCGGAGCCTCCTGGGGGTCTCCTGGAACCTCCTGGGGCCTCCTGGGGCTTCCTGCGGCCTCCTGCAGCCGCTTGGGGCCTCCTGGAGGGTCTCCTGGTGCCTCCTGAGGCCGCCTGGGGCCTCCTGGGGCCTCCTAGGGCCTCAGAATTACATGTCCAAAACGGGTTGAAAAACTGGTGACCCCCCCTCCTCCCCCCTCCTGTTCCCGACTGCCATTAATTCGCAACCGAATAACTATTGTTTAATTCCCAACCATCCTGTGGTGGTGGGTCCTCGTTTTGAAGAGACAGCGCTCCGCGTCCCACCTTCCTTCCTCCTCCTCCCCCTCCTCCCTCCTCCCCCTCCTTGCCTCTGCTCTCGGCACACCTCTCACACGTTTCGTAGCCCCATAGGGGGCTCCACCGACGGCCCCAGTGGGGGTGTCCGCATGCGGTTCCCCCACCCAGGGCAGCGTTTCGTGGCCCCATCGGGAGCTCCACCGAAGGCCCCAGTGGGGGTGTTCGCATGCGGTTCCCCCACCCAGGGCAGCGTTTCGTGGCCCCATAGGGAGCTCCACCGACGGCCCCACTGGGGGTGTTCGCATGCGGTTCCCCCACCCAGGGCAGCGTTTCGTGGCCCCATAGGGAGCTCCACCAAAGGCCCCAGTGGCTGCTCTCGCATGCGGTTCCCCCACCACGGGCAACGTTTCGTGGCCCCATGGGGAGCTCAACCGAAGGCCCCAGTCGTTGCTCTCGCATGCGGTTCCCCCACCCAGGACAGCGTTTCGTGGGCCCATAGGGAGCTCCACCGAAGGCCCCGCTGGGGGTGTTTGCATGCGGTTCCCCCACCCAGGGCAGCGTTTCGTGGCCCCATAGGGAGCTCCACCGAAGGCCCCAGTGGGGGTGTTCGCATGCGGTTCCCCCACCACGGGCAACGTTTCGTAGCCCCATAGGGAGCTCCACCGAAGGCCCCACAGTGGCTGCTCTCGCATGCGGTTCCCCCACCCAGGGCAGCGCTTCGTGGCCCCATCGGGAGCCCCACCGAAGGCCCCACTGGGGGTGTTCGCATGCGGTTCCCCCATCCAGGGCAGCGTTTCGTGGCCCCATGGGGAGCTCCACCGAAGGCCCCAGTGGGGGTGTTCGCATGCGGTTCCCCCACCCAGGACAGCGTTTCGTGGCCCCATAGGGAGCTCCACCGAAGGCCCCACTGGGGGTGTTCGCATGCGGTTCCCCCACCCAGGGCAGCGTTTCGTGGCCCCATAGGGAGCTCCACCAAAGGCCCCAGTGGCTGCTCTCGCATGCGGTTCCCCCACCCAGGGCAGCGTTTCGAGGCCCCATAGGGAGCTCCACCGAAGACCCCAGTGGCGCAGTTCGCATGCTGTCCCCACACCCAGGGCAGCGCTTCGTGGCCCCATGGGGAGCTCCACCGAAGGACCCAGCGCAGTTCGCATGCGGTTCCCCCGCCCAGGGCAGCGTTTCGTGGCCCCATAGGGAGCTCCACCGAAGGCCCGCCCCAGTGGCGCAGTTCGCATGCAGTTCCCCCACCCAAGGCAGCGTTTCGTGGCCCCATAGGGAGCCCCACCGAAAGCGGCACCCACAACGCATTACGAACAATTGCTTATGGTCGGGTCACTCGCCAGGGTAATTTGTTCCCCTGGAAAAAATCCATGGATGCCAATCGATGCCGTTTGTATATACCTCGGTACCAGGGAGAATGCCGATTTGACATTGTAGCTTGGTGTATCCCCTTATGTCCAGCCTGGAGGGCGCGCCAGCCATCGTTGCAACCTGGTGTAGTCCCGCTTGCGTGGCCCAGAGGGGGGACGGCCTTCATCGTATCCTGGTGTAGCCCCGCAAATATGGCCCAGAGGGAGGTGCGACCTTCGCTGTAACCTGGTGTAGCCTTGGTGCGGCCTCGAACTGAGCGGCTTGCTGAGGGCCTTTCTGGCCTGGAGGGCGATCCGGCCTTCGTCGTAACCTGGTCTAGCCCTTCTCCTGTCCTGTTGCATAATATGTTCATCACGTGTCGCCGGTCTGATGAGGCCATCTTGAGTCAATTGGACCATATTGCGCCATCTTGGCACCAGAGGGCGTGCGCAAGGGATGGTCCCCAAGTGCGGTCTCTTTCCGCGCCAGGCTCGGGCGTGTCAGGTGTGGCTTGTGCGCAACCCAGACAGGGTGCGCGGTGCTCAGGGAGTGGTCCCTGAGCGCAGTCTCTATCCACGCTGGGGTCGCAGGGCGTGGCAGGCGTGGCCTGACGCCAAGAGGGGGTGTGCAGGAATTTGCCCCTGCACGCAGGGCGCCAGGGCGGTCGCGGGGACGTCTCCAGCGATCCAGTTTGCCCCGCCCCCCTTTGGTTTTCTACAGGCGCACTACAGCGCTGGGGAAACATCATGTTTAAAATTGTCTCCCCAGAATAATGGTTTAAACAGTTTTTAGACATTACAGAGACACACATCACACCCAACACATCACATGCTAGACAAACATAACACACACAACACCTACAACGCACAGAAAACACGCACAACACAGAGCACGCATCACACACACAACACTCTCAATCCTGAGGCCTCCTGGAGCCTCTTCCGGTATCCAAGTCGGGCCTCCTGAGGCTTCCTGGGGGGCCTTGGTACACACATCGCAAGGTGTGGCAACCCCACTTGCGCTCGAGTGCGACCTGGCTATTGCATTTCACCCAGCAGCTATTCTCCTCCTCTTCTCCTGCTTCAAACGCTCTTTCAGTTTTCTTTGTATGCGTCTGGGCACACACGTGCCACTTGTATATACATATGTTTACAAAACAAGCTGTTTACGTGTTACAGGAGATCTTAGCATGCCTCTGGCCCGTTGGGCCGGCGGATGTATGCGGTTCAGGAGGGGCTCGGGTTTTTGGGCCGTTCCTCAGATCCAGTTCGGGCACTCTGTTCTGGCGAACGGCACCCGTACTCGTACGACTCGCACAGCTGTCGGGCGTTCGCTTCATGAGCGACGCTGGGGGGGAAAGGCTCCCTTGCTTAGGGCCACGTCGCGAGCTCTGCCTGGCCCTGGAGCAGCCCCCAGGCCCAGGCCAGGGGAGGGAGTGGACGGGCGGGTGGGTCTGACCGCCGAGATGCGGCCTTCAGGAGTTCTTGCGGGACATGGTTCACCTCCCTGACCCCGCAGCAACGCTAGGGAGGTAAAGCGTCAGGGGGCTCGCGCCCGACGGGGGATACAGGGATGTGCTCGAAGTTTTCGGTTCGAGATTTTCGACCTTTTCGTCGTTTCTCGGCGGTTCTCCAGCGCCCTGGGATGCTTTCGATCGGCCGCGCCTCGCCAAGGATATTCCGGGGGTGCTCGGATCATCCCGAACGGCTGTCCGAGAGCCGAGTTGTTGCCCGGAAGCCAAACAAGGCAACGAAAGGGAGGGATCGCGTCAGGGGGGGACGCATCGACCTCCACTAGCCCATTCATCGCTCGTAGGGGCCTGATAGCCCACCCCGCCCAGGAACGTGCGGATTCGCTCTCGGTGTCGGCGACGTCTCGCCGATTCCCGGTCGCTGTTTCTCGCCCCGAACCAGTGCCTCCCTTGACGTCCTCTCCCTCACCCGTGGCCGTGCCTGGCTGAAGCAGCTAGCCGTGTGCGGCCTCTGCGGTTCGAGTGCGCAGCTTGAAGTTTGCATGTCAGGTCGGCTTGATACTGGCGTGCTCCGCTCGCCAGGGAGGGGGCCCAGTGCCGATCCGAGAGCTTCGCATTTCTAGACGCGTTCTTCCTCCTTTCTCGTTTTCTCATTCCGTTTTGGCTCCGCCTCTCTCGCCGTCCTTTTCTTCTCCTCCATGGCTTGTGCATCGCATGGTGGAGCCCCCTTTCCCTCATTGGGGAAGCTGGCGTTTTTCATCATCACTGCATCGATTCGAAGAACAATCGAAAACACCAATTTCTGCTCATGCCATTTCTTCTTCTATGGCAGAGGAAGGCGGCCGGGGAGTGGGGTCCGAGCAGGAGCCGGGCTGCCCTTACCGAGACGACGATGTCATGGCGCCAGAGCAGGCCGTCCAGACAGGAGCGGGACGTATCCCATTTCTTTCTTTTTTGGCCCTTCCGAGAGGGTGGAGCCTCGATGCCTACAATTGTCTTGGACAAATCGATGACTTGGGCCCCTTTGGCCTCTTGTGGGTCCTGGGGGGCCTCAAGACGGCTCAACTTGGACTCAGGATGACCCACGATTGCCCCAAGAAGGCCCAAGGCGGCCTCAAGACGGTCCAGGATGGCCCCGAGGAAGAGGCGGATGTGAAGGAGAGGGGGGGACGAGGGCGAGGTGGAGGGGGACGAGGGGGAGGTCGGAGAGCAGGATGAGGGGGGAGGGGGAGGGAACGGAATATGAAGAAGCACGGTGAACAGTTGGAGGAGGTCTCGGGCCATTTTGAGGCCATTCGGGGTTATCTTCGAGGCGTCCTGGACCACCTCACCTCGCAGGCACATTGAGGCCACCTTGGATCCTCCTACTTGTCTTGGCGCCGTCTGCATGCCAGACAGAACGCCGACCCCCCTCCTGGGGGGGGTGAATTTCGAAGGGCGGTCGCTGCGAGGGGATGGGATCGCCGCATCGCTCCTAGAAAGCACGAATGAGACCTTGCCAGGCAGCAGGGGAGCATTCTGAAAGCCCCAACGTGCAGAAGGCAGAGTGGCAGATATTGCGTCCCCAAGATTGCACTACACAGACTGCACAGCATATATTCTCCCCTCGAGAGACAGTAGATGATACCGGGGGAAAAGCCCAATCCAAGTCTTCTTAGGGCTATAGGGCGATGAGGCTATTGGGCTATAGGGCGATGGGGCTATGGGGCTATTGGGCGATGGGGCCATGGGGCTGTTGGGCTATGAGGCTATAGGGCTATAGGGCTATAGAGCTATAGGGCTATAGGGGCATAGGGCTATAAGGCTGTAGGGCTATATGGCTATGGGGCTATGGGGCTATAGGGCTATAGGGCCGTATGGCTATGAGTCCGTAGGGCTATGGGGCTATAGGGCTATCTGACCATATTGCTATAGGGCTATTGGGCTATAGGGCTATAGGGCTATAGGGCTATAGACATATATAGAGCTATACGGTTACAGGGCTACAGGGCTGTAGGGCTATAAGGCTATAAGGTTATAAGGCTATAGGGCTATAGGGCTATAGGGCTATTGGGCTATTGGGCTATTGGGCTGTAGGGCGCTAGGGCTGTAGGGCTATGGGGCTATAGGGCTATATGCTATAGGGCTATAGGGCTATAGGGCTATAGAGCTATAGGGCTCTAGGGCTCTAGGGCGATATGGCTATAGGGCTATGGGGCTATAAGGCGATAGGGCTATAGAGCTATTGGCTATAGGGCTATAGGGCTATGGGGCTATTGGGCAATGGGGCTATAGGGCTATAGGGCTATCGGGCTATAGGGCTGTAGGGCTATAGGGCTATAGGGCTGTAAGGCACCTGGGCACCCGGGCACCGGGGCACCCAGGCACCCGGGTGGGCCGCGGAAATCGGTGGCAAAATTCACCTAACCGTATGAATTTGCTAGAAACCCCTACAGATGCAAGTTCTGATTGGGGAACCATACCCCCTCGCGTCAATATGATGCCCTGGGACATTGCAAGTTACATGTGATTCCGCTTCGTCGTTCTTTTTCCATAACATGTCATACCATCTCAGGAGGGCCGGGTATCGTCCCCCCCATCCCTGTCAAAGCTTATTATGCGCGCGCACTCATTTATCTCAAACATTTTGTTTCGAGAACCAATGGCAACACGTGACACAACGTTTACACGTGCTCGCACATGTCGAGCTCATGCCGAGCACATTCGTTTTGCACATATTCCAACAGACAAGCATCAACCCCCGTAGGTTTTGTATCGCAAATCAGGCAGATGTTCTGCCCGCGCGTGCATTTGTTGAAATATAGGAAAACCACATAATCTTCGCAATCTCATCCAGAACCCGCGTTCTCATCTCACCACACAGTGCATCCGCGTTGATCTAGCATGCGCCCAGTGCACGAAACTTTCAAATCACACAGTGCGGTCCACGCGCGCTTGCCGCCACGCGCGCGTGTCGAACTCCTTCTCGAAACCATAGAAGCATTTCATTATAGAACTTGCCGCACACATATGAACAATCCATTTTTTATATGTTCTCGCGCGCCCTTACTCACCATCATCCGCATCAGCGCGACCGCATCACCGCTGGTACGGTCATCGTCAATCGCCGCCATTGCAGCCATCATCAACCAATCACCTTCATCACCAGCACATGGACAATCGTCGTCGTCGTCATCAGCATCGGTGCGGTCATTGGCCTTGTCGCCGTCATCCCCTTCATCGCCACCACCGTCGCTATTATCGTCATCGTCGCTGCCCTTGTCGACGTCATCATGGTAGCGCGCCCGCCCGAGCGCCACCGATCCGCACTGAAGTGCCCGCGCGCCAGCGCGGCCTTTGAGACGCGCTAGGGAGTTCTCATCGGCAAGCGCCATCGCGATTGCCTCAGTTGCGCCAAATCAGCTGGCCGCTCTGCGCGCGAGCTTGCGCGCGCTGGCGTAGCCGCAAAGATGCGCAGCCAGTACCGCGTGGGTTGTCGCCGCATGGGTTGTGAAAAACAAGTTGCGTAGGAGGGTCGGGTGATTGCGCGAGCACTGGGATCGACGACTTCAATGTCTGCAAGGTGGGTTGCCCCCCATCGATTGAACCACCTAGAGGGCAAACTCAGAGCGACAGAACTCACACTTTGGCCCTACCCACCACCGTTCGGAAAAAGTGGGCAGACACATGCAGTAGGACGACGTTGAACGCATATTGGTATTTCGTCCGCCCTCTGAAGAGGAAGTGAGCCGAGAAAAACATTCGACATTGAATTGGAAGACGCCATATTCATATTGAAATGTTGGGGTCCAAAATTCATGCTCCTAGCGAACGGTGCCTTCGGCTCATCCCACCACCTGGGTTGTAGAACAGAGGCCTCTGGGATGCTTGTTGGGATCTTCTGGGAGGCCTCTCGGAGACCTCTTGGGGGCACCTCGGAGCCAGTTTTGTACCTTTTGGGGGCCTGAAGCATGTGGGGGGGCTCCCAGGGGCCGGCTGGCGGTCTCGGGGGGCGTATCTTGGGGGGCGAACTGTTCGAGATGCAGGTTCGGGCTCTCGCCCTTGGGGCCCCACTGGGCCGTCTTGCGGGCCTCTTGGTGCCATCTTTGGGCCATCTTAGGCTGTCGGGAGGCGCTCTCGGGGGCCTCGTGGGCTTGTGGCGATTTTGGGGGCCTCCTGGGTCCTCCTGGAGTGTCGAAAGCTTGAAAATGCGAGAGCGCGAACATGTTTCAAACACCAGAGGGGATGTCCGGATTTCGGCATCGTGGGGCCCTGCTGGGGGGCCTCTTGGAGCCCTCTTGGGGCGTTTTGGGCGTCTTGGAACGATATTCGGGAGTCTCGAGGCTATCTTGGACCGTCTTGGGGTCCTCTTCGGCTCTCTCGGCATAGTCACGCGAGGAAGCTTGGGGTCGCGCGGGACTGGCATGAAGATTTGGGCTTTGGGGCTCCCTGCCCTTCAATCGAATATATCCGTAAGGGCTTCGCCCCCTGCCGCCGGCTCCCTATCTCGGAGAAGGCGCTATGCGAGAGCTATGTCATGAGGCCTGGGCGCCGTCGTGAAGAAGTATCGGAACTTCATGCGAGGCCGATTCGTAACCGGCAAAAACAATTGACTTGTCTTGTGAGCCTGACCCCGCCGATCTGCGTGAGGGGGACCACCGAATTTCAGAAATGTTGCAAATCCCCTATGTTTTTGGACCCTGACCCCACCGATCTGTGTGAGGGGTGCCACAGAATTTTAAAACATGTGGCAAATCCTATGTGTTTTTGGACCCTGACCCTGTCGATCCGCGTGAGGGGTGCCACCGAATTTCAGAAATGTTGAGAATCCCCCGGGTTTTCGGACCCTGACCCCGCCGATCTGCGAGAAGGGTGCCACCGAGTTTTTGAAATGTAGTAAATCCAATGTGTTGTTGGACCCTGACCCCGCCGATCTGCGTGAGGGGTGTCACCGAATTTCAGAAATGTAGCAAATCCCATTTGTTTTTGGACCCAGACCCCGCCGATCTGCGTGAGGGGTGTCACCGAATTTCAGAAATGTCGCAAATCCATATGTTTTTGGACCCTGACCCCCCCGATCTGCGTGAGGGGTGTCAGCGAATTTCAGAAATATGGCGAATCCCATGTGTTTTCGGACCCTGACCCCGCCGATCTGCGTGAGGGGTGCCACCGCATTTCAGAAATGTGGCACATCCCATATGTTTTTGGACCCTGACCCCGCCGATCTGCGTGAGGGGTGCCACCGCATTTTAGAAATGTGGTTAATCCCATGTGTTTTTGGAACCTGACCCCGCCGATCTGCGCGAGGGGTATCAATTTTTACCCACCGCAGCAGTTCATAGCACACGCTCAGGGCGTGCTAAACCTGCCCGTTTTGGGCCTCCCCCCCTCGCGCGGTCCATCAACAAGGAACAGTAAGCAGCAAGAAGCAGGACTGTAACAGTGGAAACTGGAAGCTGCAACTGGTACAGGAAACTGCGAACCTTAGGCCTACAGCCTGGTGGCCCCACAAGGGGGCCGGCGGATTTCAATACTGAATCCAGAGCTCAGAGGATTCTAGAAGCTTGGGGAACACTCCACTTCTTGCCTGGAGGCATGGTGGCGGACATGTGATGCAATCTACGATTGCGGTTCTGCAGTCGCCATCTCCAAAGTTCGAGCAAACACTCCACCCACCCGCCCGCCCGCAACGTGTTGGCACGACCTCTCCTGTCCGTGTCGGCAGGCCCACGCCGCGCAGCTGCAGGATATTTTTAATAGGTTTTGGAAGGCTCCCGAAAGACAGTCCAGACGCGGAACGAAGGACCGCTTTGGGCTCGGGAGGGGCTCGGCTTTCTGGGCCGCTCCTTGGATCTGTCGTGGAACCCGCTTGTGGCCCAGGCCCGCCGTGGCCAGGCGAGCCCCCGCGTTCCTTCAGTGCGTGCCCCAGGGCAGCACGAGGGCTGC